GTTTGAATATAGCTCCATCAGTTAAATTTCATATAGCCAATGACTATGCTACTGACATAAATTCATATTTATCTACAAGTATATATAATTTTTGTGCGTTCCATTATGGGTTATGATACAAAAGTTAGGTGAGCTAATTATGCAGGTCAGATTATTTAAAATATTGAACTGCAATACTGAAGGGAAAGAAGTTTTCAAGTTCATGGGGTTTGTGAACTTGCAGCCAATTCAAATATGAAATTTTAACTTCAATATGCCATTTGGTAAAATAAAAATCAAGACACGGTAAAATTGAAATTTCATGTATGAAAAGAAGTGGTTAACTTCTCAACCAAAATTCATCTTTCTATTGTACCAAATTAATATCATAAATTAATTTTTTTTTCTTAAATTTTTTCTTACTTATTTTAAAATTCAAACTTAAAATCTCACATTTAATCGGTCATTAATATGTCCCATAGTGGACAATATGTCTCATGTCCAAAGTCCAATGATATTCCTCTTTTCTTTTTTTTTGTTTAATGAATTGTCCACTAATATGTCTAAGATATTAATTAGTTGTCCTATGAATTGATTTTGGATATTAATTGCCATAAGAATTGATTTCGGATTTTGTTGCCATTTTCTCTTATGTGATGGGATTTTGTTACCATTATAAAGTCCATCCATTTCCTGCATAGATTTCCGGAGGAAGGTTGTGTTCCTTTCATCTGCAGACATGTGTGCTTATCCTGATCCTGATAAATCTTACCCCGCTCCTGCTCAAACTTACCCTGCCCCTGCTCAACCTTACCCTGCCGCTTCTCAAGGTTATATGGATTCCCTTTTTCCCTTTTCATTCTCTCTTCCTGCTATTAATTTTTTCTCATTCCTGATTTTGCATTACACTTGTGAAAAGTTTTATTCTTGTTCCTTTTTTTAAAAAATAAGTACAAATTTAGGGGAGAGAGATTTGAATCTAAGAATTAAGGTAAAAATGCACCTTTTATAAAGGTTTATAATTAATTAATTTTTTAGGTTATGTGCTATTCTTATTTTTAATTTATGTTAAATTTCTCAATATTGTGTAGCTTTACCAAATTTTGAATTCTCTGTTTTACTTGTGATTCTTCCTCTCCTACAATAATTTATTGATCCATGTTGATCTTAAGAATTTTCTGGTTTTTTTTTTTTTTTTTTCCTTTTTTGGGTCTTCCCCCTTCCACAGTTCCACTTCATCCCGCTCTAAAGTCTCTTGTTTTTGGTGGACAGGTTATTACCAAGGACCTCCAATAATGGCACCTCCACCCCCAGTGTATGCAGCTCCACCCCCTGCGGCTCAACTGGGCTGCTTTGCAGGATGGTAATTTTATTAATTTCTGTTCCTATTAATGTTGGGTTGAGTTTATTACTTTATTGCCACCATTCAATTTGTCAAATCACCAATTTAAGTGTAATTTTATTAGTTTGTAATTTTTTTAAAACAATTAATTATATGAAATTTAAAAATATTTATTTATGAACTAATTTTAATATATTAAATAATAAATATTAATTATTTTATTAATTATCAATTATTTTTAATAAGAAAATTAATATAAAATTTTGATAGTTATTGGTGGTCTTAACAAATTGAATAGTGACTAGTGACCAGTGGCGGAGCCAGGGGATGCGAGTGGGGGGTGCTCGCCCCTGAAATTTGAAAATCTTGTAAATTAATATATGAAAAATTATCTAACTTCTCTTGAACTTTGAAAATTTTAATATTTTGTTCCCTGAAAAAAATTTCTGCCTCCGCCCTGATAGTGACCATAACCATATTTCAATGTTGTCTCTGAGTTTTTTTTGTTTTTTTTTTTGCTTTATTTTCTATTGGTTTAATCTTTTGGTTTGTTGTGTTGAATTTGTTGTTACCGTCTTACGGCCTTATGTTGCTGTTGCGTCATTGAAGAGTGTTGCTGATGCGACCCTACCATCATCTGTGAATGCTTGCTATATAGTGTTGTGTGTTTTCAGTGCAATAATCTCATCCCTGTTTCAGATATGTGATGATGTCTCATGCATGATGAAAAGCTTGAGAGACAGTTCCTTGATATTGGTGTTGAGGAATTGAAGAACAAGTTTGGATTTATGGAGTTTTTTCCTTTTTTCTTAGAAATAAATTTTATTGATAATTAATAAAATACACTAATTTCATTTATTACACGTCTTATGAACTAAAAATTAACTACTTATATTACTGACATAAAAATGTGTTTTATGGAAATGAGTCAATTAAATACTAAGAACCTCTTGCACTTGGCCTTTGTGGCCCAATGACTAGTGCCATTAAAAAAGTACGTATTCCCTTCTCCTCATCGGGTTTCAAACCTAACCCATAACAAAAGAGTTCAAAAAAAAAAAAAACTAAGAACCTCCTATACTAGTGGATGTCATGGAGGTGTTGATAGGCCAAGAAAAGAATTACCCAATTTAAGTATCCATAAATTGTGAGTAATTACACTTAATACCAAAAGCTAAGAGCAGAAGAAGACATTACAACACTCCCCTGCCTACCATTGCGCAAATGTTTAATTTTGAATCTTCTTTAATAGTTATAGATTGAACTTGGAATTAATATTGAATGGTCAATCTTAAACTTGAAACCTTTAATATAAAAAGCTAGCTCTTAATGTTTATAATATATATCAATGATGTATAATCTTAATTACATGGTGAAAAAGATTCAAGTAAAAAAAAGAAAAAAAGAAAAAGGAAGTTTCCTCTTAATCTTGAGCCAACTTCTTTTGAGACTTTAGTCCATGCAATCGACAGACTAAACAGAACGGCCCATAACTTTGGGTTAGGACTTAGGCATTAACACAATAATTTGTCTCGTTTTATTTTGGGCCCAATCAAAGCATGCCCTGACCTTTTACCATACCGTAATAGCAGGCAGTTCCCAGTTGGCACTGATCCGCTGCAGCTGTTCTAGACGAAAATTTTTTCAACTTCACATCCTTAGCTGAAAGTATCATAGTTAGTATCATGTTGGGAAGGGTTAGAGGTTAAGAGTTGAGATTTTTAAATAAATAAAGAGAATTATATACTAAGATATAATTTATTAATTGACTTAAAAACAAAAAAATAAAGAAAATTATACAATAAGGTATAATTTATCATTTGACTTATTTAAATAAAAAAAAAGTGACCCAATTACTTGCTAATATAAACTTGTTTCAAATTAAAACTATATTCTCCCTTCAAAAAAAATCATGAGATAGAGCTCAATTCTTCTTTTCTTTTTCTCAGTATTTGACTGTGGCTTGATCGTCGGAGTTATGGGTACGTTGGAATTATGTCTTATACCCATTTCATCTTGTGTTCTTCATGTCGCGTTGCTGATTCAGTTGTGGCAGATTGGCTGGATATCATCCACAATTCATCTTCTTTGTTCTTTGAATTGCTAACTGACCAAATTCTTTAGCTAAGATTAATAGTTTTAGGTTTGACTTATACAAGATGCTGATGGATTGAGTACAGAGCTAGAAGCGGATGTAATTCAAACTTACAAAAAAAAAATATTTAAATTAATTAATTTTCTTGGCCTTGTTAAAAAATTGAATGATAAATCAGCTTACAACTATTTGAATGACAAAATAAATAAATAAATAAAAGAGCTTAGTTAAGCTCATTTTCCGTCTTAATTTCGTTATCTTTTTCTTCTTTTTTTTTTAACAACTTAGAGTGTTATGAGAGACTTCAAACTTAGCTCACCAATGTGTACTTCTCATAAGCTGGGCTAATAACCCAATTCTATGTTTATTGGTGACATTTTTAATCAACAATCCGTTTGTTTCTTTTAAAATCTCTCTTTTCAAAAGTTTCCTTTTTTGGTTGCATGACAAATAGGATTACAAAAGCATACTACTCATTTTACTTAAAGTGAGAAATGGGGGTTTCTAGTGATTCTCACCATTTCCAAGTGTGAAACTTGGTTGTGAGTTAATGGAAGACTGTTCGTTAAATAATTATGAGATGTGTTGTGGTTAAACAATTGTTGCAAAAATTTGTTGCAAAAATAAGGGTGTATTTTTACATCAAAATTCATAAATAATTACAATGTAGGAACATTAAGGACTTTCCATAATATCAAAACCCTTAAATCCACCCCTCAAATAAAGGAGCATTCATCTCTCAAAAAAATATAGGAACAAAACAAATTATTCTTTCAAATTTTAAATTGAGACAAATCATTCATTTTTTAACGTGTGATGTCAAAATTTTGTTTGTTACGTAAGCATTTTTAATGAAAAGCTGATGTCACACGTTAAAAAATAGAGAATTTGTCTTGATTTATAATTTAGAAGGATAATTTGTTCTTGCATTTTTTTAGAGGGTGGATCTATCCTTGTCGTCCTATTTGAGAGATGGATTTGGGGTTCTGCCTCTCATAGTTAAGGTTGAAATGTTAGTTTGTTGATTAAAATAAAAAAGAAATATAGAGAAAAAGAAAAGAAAAACAGTACATGACATGAAAACTAAATTGTAGAAACGAAGTGTGATGTTGTCATGAAGGTATGAAAGTATAAGGAACTAAATAAAAAGGCTATGCAATCAAGAAAGTATAAAACAAAACTTAAAGGAAGTTAGGAAAACAAATTTAGAGTAAAATGTAGTAAATTGAACTAGATTTAGCTAAGCTAGAAGCATGAATAGTGTGTTGACAACACAAAATGAAACTTGACAAAACTAAAGAAGCATCAATTTGACAAAAGCTTTGTTGAATTGAATCGTAGGAAATTAACTATATCAATGAAAATATTCAAAATAAAATAATAAATACTAGAGCTAGAGTTTGTAAAAATATAAATTAATAACTAAATTAAAAAAACTGTTTATGAAAGCGTAAAGCTTTAACCATGAAAAATTTATAAAACTAAAATATAGATAATATTGGATTAGTTTGAAAGGAGTGAGTCTTCTTTGCTTTGCTCAATTTTCATGTATTTATAGTGCAAAATGTCCATGACAGCATGTTGGAGATATGCAACATCTTAAAAAGCAGTAGCATGCTAAAGATTTGCAGCAGCATTATAAATTAGCGATAGAAAGCTGAAGATCTATAATAGCCTTACTGATATGTTGTTGTGAGCTGTAATAAATACCGGATTAATCAAGAGGAAAATCAACTATTCATTTTGACTTTAGTTGATAAAATATGGATTAATCAAGAGGAAAATCAACTATTTATTTTGACTTTAGTTGATAAAATACTTGATTCCCCAAAACTTGGTCTATTGAAGTCTCTTGATTTACTCTCAATTATTTTCAAAATCTTGCACTTAAATCTTCAATTAAATGATTTAATCAACAAACAAGATTAGTCTATAAATGACACATGGCACTGCCTTATTTGATTTGCAAAATGAGTGTAAATATCAATATTTTGTAATTTAAATTGTATTAAATTATTAATAATTAGATTTCAAAAAAAATTAAAATTAACATGTAATCTATTATTATTGGGTGTAGTTATCGTCATCATAAAAAATATTAAAACCGCTAAAATTTTAATTTTTTTCTTAGATAATGTATGAAAATATCAACTATTTGACTAATTTTAATTTATTAATTAATAAATATCAATATTATACCAATTTTTAATTAATAATTATAATTATTAATTATTTTTATAAATTAAATATATAAAATTAATATTTTTAAAAATAATAATTAGATAATGAACTTAACATCGTTATTAATTGCCATAACTGTGACTATATTGAAATGAAATTACGATTAGATAAAATCCATTCAAACCAATCACTCATTTTACCACAGTAATCATGCCGCAGAAAAAAGAGAATAAAGAAAGACCAAAACGAACGAATGTTTTTGTTAATATGAGTGGGAGAAATGCAGGTTTTTTACATAAATATATTAAGTTTAATATTTATAAATAAAAAAAAATATTGAGGGATTTTTTTTTTATTGGGTTGATCGTAACTTTATTTTTAAATTAGTTGATATATAAAATGATTACAGGAAACTAGAAGATACCAAAAAAATAAAAAAAGACCAAAACGAAGTGGGAAAAGAAATGCCCTTGACCTCGAGTCGTCGTTAAGTCGTTTGGCCCATAAGCAACCCAATTGCCCTCAAGACATGAAAAACCACAAAAATGCCACTAGCCAAAGCATTTTCCTGCTTCACACTAACGAACGGCTGATAACTCGCCACGTGGTTCATCTCAATCTGACTTACTGTGACAGGTGGCAGACCTTTCAGGTCAAGCACCAGGAAATTCGACCGTTGGATCAAAACCGACGGTTTAAGATCTATTCATGGCCCACAGGGGCAGAGTGGCGGAGGCCTTTAAGAAGGGGTGGTCTCTGGCTGTTGTTCCTCGCTCTGGTGAGGAGAAGAGAGGAGAGGAGAGGGTCTTCGAAACCCTCGTCTCCGACTTTCTTTCATCTCTCTCATCTTCAATTTCTTTCTTCTTTTTTTTTTCTTTTTTTTTTTTAAGTCGGGAAGTTTCGGTTTCCCGCTGTTTTCCTCCTTGGTTTCTTGCCGGAGATTCGCCTGGAGTGTGGTGTATGTCATCTCGGTTAGCAGAAATGAGCCGTGTTGGGATGAAAGTCAGGTGGTTTTCATGAGGAAAGACACCACCACCGCCGCCGCCGTTGCTGATTATTCGTTCGAGCACAATCGAAATACCAATCCGATGCTAAGTCAGACTCAGACTGCTGGTAGTAGAGAGATCCATTCCTTTGATCCGTCCGGTGACAACCATTTCCGACCCGCCTTTGACCCGACCCGGAAACTAGTTGGGTTGAGCAAGCGGAAAGAGTCTTATCGTGGCCGCCGTGTCACCTTCGACCTCAGTGCGTATACCAGAGAAGAGCTTAAGCAGCTTAAGCAGAGGTTCATCTCAGAACTTGAACAGGTCCGTGTTCTAAGGAACCGGATTGAGTCCGGCGACTTTGAAACCCGATCGATTTGCCCGTCTTCTCAGGTGTCGGCTACTCGACCACAGCAGCAGCATCCAGTACAAGTTGCGGATCCGACGAAAAGTGACGACAAGAAAAAGAAGGGTCCGGGAACTAAACGTAGCAATCCGTTCAGCGCGGGGAAAGATCGGACCCCGAAACAGTCCATTGTGGAGTTGCCAGTGATGGAGAAGAGCATGATGAGGAAGTGTAGTCAGATCTTGAGTAAGTTAATGAAGCACAAATTTGGGTGGATCTTTAACGACCCGGTGGATGCGGCGGGGTTAGGGCTGCATGATTATCACCAGATCATCAAGCATCCTATGGATCTCGGTACTATCAAGATGAAGCTTGATGGCAATGGTTATGAATCACCGGTTGATTTTGCTGCCGATGTGAGACTGACATTCAACAATGCCCTAACTTACAACCCTAAAGGTAGCGATGTGAATACCTTGGCAGAGCGTTTATTGTTTCAATTTGGGCAAATGTTTGATCCTGCATTCAAGAAATTCGAGAATGAGAGGCCCAAAGTCTTAGAGGAAGTAAAGCCAAGGCTGCAGAATTCAGTTGCTGGCGTGGATGAAAGTGCAAGGAAAGGGCCTGATCGAATGTCGGTAGTGAGGAAACCAGAGGCTGAATTGGCTGCTCCTGCTGTTGGGATAAAAATGGGGAAGTTGCCAAAGCCAAAGGCGAAGGACCCAAACAAGAGAGATATGACCTTGGTGGAGAAGGCGAAGCTGGGGTTGAGTCTGCAGGAGTTGCCGCCAGAAAAGATGACCCAAGTTGTGCAGATTCTGCGCAAGAGGAATGGACACTTGGCTCAAGAAGGAGATGAAATTGAGATCGACATTGAGGCAATTGATCCTGAGACGCTCTGGGAGCTTGACAGATTTGTGGTTAATTATAAGAAGATGGTCAGCAAGATTAGACGCCAAGGGCTTATGCAGAATCCGGTCTCCACCGCCCAAATGGATGAGGTAAAGGAAAGCTATTGCATTCCAATGTTGTGATTTTCTGGTTCTTAGCTTTGATGTTGTGTGGTGAATTATTGATGATCTTTGTGGTTGGCCTTATGCAGTCGCCGAGAAGTGAAGTGGCAGAAGCAGCGCAGAGGATCAGAAAAGGGGAAGTAGCTGGTGGGGAAGAAGATGTTGACATTGGTGATGAAGTTCCTGTAGTGAATTATCCTCCTGTGGAGATTGAGAAGGATGATGCTAATGGAGCTATTGCTTGCAAGTCTAGCAGCGCTGGTGGCTCCAGTTCCAGCAGTGGGTCCTCCTCATCTAGTGGTATATATATCAGACTCACACAATGGTTAATGATTTCCATTTGTGTGTGTTTATGCATTTGTTTGTGTTTTGGGTACTAAGGCTGGTTGGTATTTGCAGGTTCTGATTCCGGGAGCTCCTCAGAGAGTGACTCTGATGCTGATAGTATTCAGTCACCTTTTGTTGGTTGATTGACATGGAAGTTGGAGCTGATCTGCTTGCTGGAGTTTATTGGGTAACCCAATGTTTTGAAAGTTGAGTTGGTTTTTCTTGCTTTGTCCTGCCCTTTTCAGTGATGAGATCGGATTGGGAAGGCTGTGTTGGGAGGATTTCAGGATGTTTTGGTAGAGTGTACAAAGTTGTTTTTGCGTTTAGATTGCAGCACATAGTCAAGAGGAATGGGGTAGATAAGGAGATGGATAGAGTAGTATTTGAGTTTGTAGGCAGTAGGAAGTGGAGAGAAGAAAGACCACCACTTGGTTTTCACGGTGGTGAAGCAAAGCAGGAAACTTGTATAGAGACTAATCATCAAAGAAAAATTAAGTAAAAGCAATTGACCTCTCTTTTCTTAGAATGATAGCGCATGAGTCTCTTCACCATCTTCTCTGATGCAGTGATGATTAATGAAAAACAGCTGTTTCACTTTCACCATGTCTTATTGTCCATTCATTCCTTCCTGTCACTCCCAATTCTTTTCCAGCTTTAGCATTCTATCTTTGCGTTTTTCACTTCTTTTAAAGCTTTCCATTCGATGGGCCTTTTCGGTTTGCTCAGTTCCCTGGTATTTTCTAGAATTCTTTTGCATCTTCTAGACTTCTTTTGATAATTGATTACTTTTGAAACTTTATATGCCAGTGGTAACTGATTAGTGAACTTACCGGAGGGAGATTATTATTTTAGTAAAAGGCTACAGCCTAGAATGGGGTGCATTTTCCTACTATCAATCCGTAAAGTTATGTGATCAGAGGCTATTGATAACCTTGATTTTTACTAGTACTGGTAAGGCATCAAGTGAAAATTGAGATGCCTTTACAGCCTTGCATATTTTCTTTTTCTTGGAATCATGGCCGATTACTTTAAAATTTCACATTCATTGAGATAAAGCGTTTTGCCTTTCTCATTCCTTGGTGACTTGATTTTTGAACTCATTTTGAGTCACTCGGTTTGTCATGTTCAGTTGAATATCAGTTTTGGTTGTTCGAAGCAGGCAAGCCAATACCAATTCAAAAGAAAGCAAAGATGAATCTTGGTTAGAATCTTGGTTAGAATCTCAAGTGATTTGGCAAATGTTGTATGTTAAACTATGATGCTGTTAGGGAGTCAATTTCAAAATCTGAATATGGGGAACTACTTTTCCTAAGAGATTAAAGCATGGACCAAGTGATTTTCTCCTGTGGCATTCGAGAATTTATTTCGAGACGGTAAACTTAGTAATTTTTTACTCAACCCTCTAAGCCATTTATTATCTGTCCTATTTAAAACGAGTTAAAGTCCTATTTAAAACGAGTTAAAGTCAGATATTTATAAACCATAGCATGTTAAAAGAACTTGATCAATCATGAGTTCTTAATGAGTTAACCCATCATGTTAAAGGACTTGATTTGTTTATTTATTTAAAAATTTAAATATTTTTAATTTATTATTTATTTATTTTGTTTCTTAATTCTTGATTCTCCTTAAACTTTTAATAATTGATTAATTTTTTTAATTAACTAATTAATTCTTTTAGCAAAAATAAGTGTGTGGTGTTTTCAAATTTTATGAACATTGTTCTTTGAAAGAAAATGAAGAAGGTGATTATAAAAAATTATAAATGTGTTTTATTAAATTAATCAAAAAAAATCTTTTTATAAGATATTAAATTTCATTTTAAAATTTTTTGAAAAAATTTTTTTGGATGGTAATATATACAAATTATAGAGAATAAAAAAAAAATTCAATTGGGTTAATTCACGAATTGATCCATGACACGTGATGGATGGGTTAAAGTTAATCTTCATTGACCCGTAACCTATTTTAACAACATTCATTTTGACCCGTAACCCATTATAACCAATCCTAACCTAATCCAACCCGTCTATTTACCAAGTCTACACAACAAAAAATTAAACTGTATCTCAAGATACTACTGATGTGATATCCTCGGTTAATCACAACATGTCACATCATTATTTTTATTATTGAATGAGTTGGCATGACTAATAAGGTGGAGAATTTTTTATAATGTAACATGCTGTAAGGATACCACGTCAACAATAACCCTGAATACACCAGACTTTCTCCTACGCGACGGTCCTTCCCCATTTGATGCAATCCACCAGGACAACTTTATTTTTATAGGCAATCACCAAATACCAACAAGGATTGGACCGCATTAATCAAATTAATTCCTGATGGGAAATTTCGGAATGAAGATTTCCATGAATCTCATATCAAAGAGACCATTCAATTCACAAGTAGAGAAAAAAGAACCTGACATCAACTATACTTTCTACTTAGAGAGGCTTCGATACACCACCATAGGCGGTTGATATGGTGTTGCATACATTTATTGTACTCTCTGACACCATTTCGTGGGCCTCTAATCAATCCTTACTACCAACCATAGATAAATGCTACTTAAATTCTCACTTCTCTGACCCATCATTCTGTCGCAGAAGCAGCAACAATACAGAACACTGCTTATTGAATGCTCAACTTCAAATAATTGACAATATTTCTTGACATAGTGCACTCCACTTCTGTATCAAGAAAAGAAGCTGAAGTCATATGAAAAGCTACTAAAATTCATGCACAAACGAGGAGTTTGTGTGTATGAAATTTGATGGCCAGGCCAGGCCAGGCTAGAATATGGTGAAGCAGAACCAACCCTTCACGTTTTTGAAAACAAACTTCAGGGAATTGCTAAAAGCAGTATTTATTTACATATAATTGCCTGAAGCAGTGCTTGCCGGGATAGGACTGTGTAACCAAATTTGGTAGAACTTTATTTAGGAGTACATTGCATACCTGCTAATTTTCCCAAATGGAAAACCATCAGGCGCCTACTGCCTCTGTATAGAGAGGGGTTTTGGGCCCATTAACACCAGCGTTTCCACAAGCACCATCATTGTCGCTCACCATGGTTCCACACCCACTGCCGCAGCCACTACCACAACCGGCACTCTTAAACATGCTTCCACATCCACCACCACACCCACCGCCACACCCACCACCGCATCCACTACCACACCCCCCACTGTTCACTATGTCTCCACATCCAGCACCGCACCCACCACAGCCACTACTCTTAACTGCATTTTCTGGATTCATTTCATTACCTGCAGCCAGATCCACATAGTCCACCTTAGTTCCTACAGGAAGAGTCATGTTCGTTCCGTGGTCTTGCTTAGCATCCACCTTTTCAATTATGTCGTTAATCTCCTTCCTGTTTTTGCCATTAACATTGAAGCTAATGTGTCCTTTCTTCTTTAAATTATCAGAAAGTATAAAAGCAGCTATCAGTCCAGGCAATACCAACCATTCCTCCGTTGCCTATTAATTTAAAAAGGAAAAACAGGCAAAAGTTAGCAAAGATTTTTCCATTCATATGTACAATAAAAACTTTATGGTACCTTGATACATCCAGATCTCAAGTCAAGCAATGCCAATGCTTTCCCATACGGATTTTCAGCAGAAAATTCAACCAAAGTCATAAAGTCATCTTCATTTCTCTGTTTCTCACAAGGCTTCGGTTCATACTCCAGCTTTCTTCCTGGGTAAACTTTTACCTATACCAAATAAAGATCAGTTCAGTGAATAACCCAATGGGTCCATGATTAAATGGTAGGAGGCTTATTACATAACCTATTTGAATGTCAATTGGAACTAATTTTGGGGAAAATGAGCACATGGTGATAACACTACATATAAGGCATAAATAAATACATATGATTATCCCATCCAAATATTTCAGCCAAAGAAGACTGAAAATAAATAAATAAATAATCATAACAACTAAAAACAAAATGTGCTTTCTAAAGATCCATTAGCTTCATGTGAACTCCACATTCAGGTCAGGTGGTCTACCACTTGCTATAAGTGGAAGTTCATGGCTGGAGGCTTGAGTTCAAATCCGAGTCACAACCCCTCCCCCCTCCCTCTTAGGATAGTAGAATTTTGTAATTGCCATGTTTGAAAAAAAAAAAAAAAAAGATCTATCAGCCTCTTGCAGGAACTGCCAGGTAGCTAGACATGTGGAGATTTGAGTTCAAGACTTTAATCCTAGACAACAAAGTGCATGTTGATAGGAGCAGAGCATATGGGGAGCTAATGAGCCAGTCCCATATTTTTGGTTGCGTCAAATTGGTGGCTAGCATAAAACAACAATCAAACAGCTCTGGGCCATAGTTTCCCCAGTAAAAGACTGGCACACTTTTGAAAGAATAGCAATAAAATTGTAATGCAGTAAAAAATATTTAACCACCAAAGATTTCTAGAGGACATAACAAAAGATGAGAAATTCAGTTAACATATTGAAAAAAATGAGCTAGAATAAGTAGATCCTCACCATCCTGCTACCTATGAGCTCAAGGAGATCACCATTTTCACTGGCTTTTTCTTGATGCTGTAGGCACCACTGAGAATCCATCAATAACCAGAAAGTCCCAGTAAATTCTGCCAGAGTATGTGTTTCACCACATTTTGTAATACCAATCACTTGTTTCCTAGAAGTGCAGTTTTGTTTCTTCTTTGCCTCTGTAAGCTCCCTACAATGCAGTCCAAGCCCCAATAGTTAACTTCAATGCTTCAGAACATTTAAGATTTAATGGCATTGAGAACCAACAAAAGATGCATGAGAACGATAAATATATGCCTTTAACGGGAGTAAGTTCCAAGTTCATGCATACTAGCAAAGAAAAATACCTAGGTGGAAATATTAATCTCCTATACAAAAGTTTCTGTAATCTAGTTAGTGCCAGCTAGCAAAAAACTCAAAACATTGGAGTTTAAAATTAATGCTTGCAGGCTAGAAATGTGAAATCCCTGTTAGGAAGAATATAGCATCCTAGGGTTTAAAATTTTCAAGATGGACAAACCATATAAAGACTCCATATCATAATTCCAGATTGATCAGAGTGTTAAACAGAGATTATGGAATTTCAAACAAACAGAGAACTCCAGCATTAATTAGAATCTGTACAACAGAAACGTCTATTTGTACATTATGTGTCCAGGTATAACCATCATGCATTTGATATACATGCACTAGCACACATGGACACATTGACAATACATAGACGCAGAAGCATACTCAGATCTAGATATAAGAGGGCAGATAGAAACAGAATGTAGTTTTAAACCACTTGCTAGAGGGAAAACAGATATTTATACCTTATTTGGAGGCTAATCACCTCAGCTTGGGTTTCATCAATGACGTGTCTCCAATTCTTAGCATGTTCAACCATTACAGGGAGAGGGAAAAAACAAGTACTCTTTGTACATGGATATTGAACCATGCGGAGCACATATGGGGCTGGGGTAGGGATGGTAAATGAGACAGCAACATGAAGGTTCATTGGCTTGGGGCTTGTACTTCCAGAAACAGGCGTCAACTCCAACCATTTCTCTCCAGCAAGTTTAGAAACTGGATCCAGGAACTCACTCAAAGAGAGTGAAGCAGTGCCCAAAGTTTTAGACGCCCTCGTTACCAGTAGATTCGAAGGTGAAAGGGATACTAGTTCAAACAGCAGCTTGCCAGTAGGCTCACACTGGAATGCAACTACCTGCTTCTCCCGAGACTCAGATAAAATAGTCACTTTCCTATTGCCATTGAAGAATGCATCAGGTTGAGTTTTACGAAAAAAGACAAAGAGGCTTCCCTTCAGCTCCTCCGCTATGTTCTTAACTCCAATGACCTCCAGAAGGACCTGCAAAAGTTTAGGAATTTGTGGGGAAAAAATTAAAATATGAAATGAGTACTTTTATATCAATCTGCAGGAACTCAGTAGCACTTCATACTAATGTAATGACCAGGAATTTCTATATCATCCATAATATTTTAATAACTCTACTATAAAACTTTATAGACTTTGCCTTCCATGTAATTGACGTTAGGAAAACCATCATCAGGAACATCTGATATAAATAAGCTGCTAGATTTCAAAGCTCAAGAAGAAAGAGTTTGACAATAAAACAGGATATTTTTCCCTTTTAAAAGCAAAAGAAAAAGACTGGAAATTACCTCAACAAGTTTCATCTCTGGAAGCTGAATTATATTCTGGAACTGATGTGTGGTAGTGGCTTCCTTGCTCAAACTGTCTGGAAAGAAAGGAAAATCTGTCACGGGAGTTGGGGCACTGCCTCTATACATTGCTCCTGCCCTCCAATACCTTGTACCAAATGTCTCTTCCCATTGCTTGGTAGTCACAAAAAACCCAGTATCAAGCTTCTTCCCTTTAGTTCTGTCCGAATCTTTGTCATCATGCTCCAATACCCTACCAAGTTCTTTTTTCAGATCCTTGCAGTAAGCAACAGGGTGCAACTGGTGGGTATGCCACATAAGGTCAATGTCATAAGTTGGAACACAAAATCGCCTCATGGAGCTTTCCTGATTTCTCTTAATCAAATGCAGAAAACCCTTATATCTGGCTACAGCTTCTTCAAGAAAGATATTGTTGTTCATATGGGGTCTTGAGACCTATGAAAAACAAGAGCGATGACGCAAAAATGAAATGTTGAAACATTAAAAACAGTGGAATCTATGCCGATCAGGAAAAAAAAAATAAAAAAAAGGGGGAAGAAGAAGAATCTAAACCCTTCAGGCTACAATCTGTGTCAATTAACCCCAAAATGCCTATTATCTTCCTACTTCAGAAATTGTCTGTAAACATAGCAGATGTTCTTGCTTTCTGAACAGTGATTATTTTCATGATTACCTGATAAAAGAAAGGACTCTGCCTTTTGACAGCAGAAATTAGATCATACTTAATTTGCTTTTCAATTCCGGAGAATTTCTCAGAGATGTCCTCTGATGATGCTCTCTTCCAGTCGAATTCATATGGTTCATCAAGAAAAAGTGTGTTCCAAATTTCTTCTGTTTGTTTTTTACAAGAGCCTTGAAGGGAAGACACAACGTTGAAGTTGTCCAGTATCCTCCCATAGAATTCCACGCAATCAGATTTGTATCGAACCTAAATCACAAAACCAAAGCAACTGAGCGCAATAACTCAGAAAATAAGGCAACGAGAACCGGAATTTTTCGATACATATAGTAAAGTCCGGAAAGCATACTGGGTTGAGCCTGTGACAGTGCCAAATCCATTCGCAATCGAGAGGAACAACCAGAGGTCCCTCTGAAACCTCTGATTCACAATGTTTGGCTAGCAACGGAAGCCAGCAAGCACTGTACCTGGAATCAGCATAACCTTAAATTCATAAAATTCACAATATCCAAACAGAGTCGATCTAATTGGTTTTACCAAACACAGTCAAACGCAGAAATTGAAAAACGAAGAATGATAATTTGAGCAACATAGACTTCGAAACAACTACGGAATGAGATCATGAGGAGCTGACCTATAGATCGCCCTCTGGAGCGCAGGACCGTCATAGAGCCAACGGTTCCTGTCGACAGCTTGAAGGAACTTAAGTTGCTGTTTAGCCGCAGCCACAAGGTCGGCGCTAATCTCAATCTTCTGCGCTTCGATCCACTCTAGCTGTTGTTCCCTTTCCAATTCCATCTCGTAATTCTCACCTGACAAACATCGCCAAGAAAGGATCATAATCCACAGCAAAACATGTAATTCATAGAGA